AATCATAGAAACAATTCAAAGCTCCAAATTTTGGAATGATGCGACAGATGCAGTCACTACATTAGCGCCTCAAGGTGTTTCGTTTGGGTGATAGTGAGGGGTCAACCATGGGATATTTATATGAAGCAATGGAAAGGGCAAAGAGAGCACTAAAAATAAATTGTAATGACAATGAATCTAGCTATCTCGAATTGGTAAAGATATTCGAAAAGAGATGAAATGAAAATATAATTCACCCCATTCATGCCGCTGCCTCATTTCTTAATACAACTTTAATGTATAGTGGGTTTTAAACTTGATAATCTTGAAGTGAAGGCTGATTTTACCTTGATTTCAAATTCAATGATCCAGGCAGAACAGAAAATTGTATTCTTTTCAAAGTTGTTGAAGTACCATACGTGGGATTCAATATATTTGATGGTGTTGCATTGGGATTATTGTTAACAGCTCATCCTTATCTTCTTGATTATCAATTTTTTGTATCTTCTTGTATTATTTATTTTTTGTATTTTAAAAAAATAAATTTGATCTTACTTTTAATTGTATCTTGAGTATGTGGCTAAAAATTTCTTATTATGTAGGACTTTGGTGGGAAGTACGTAGAGAAATCATTCCAATGGTTCAAATGGTTGCCATTCGAATTTTGAGCCAACCATGCAGCTCATCAACGTACGAAAGAAATTGGAACACTTTTGAGGCGACTCAAACAAAAAAAAGGAATAGATTGATACCAACTATATTAACCGACTTGGTTTACATACGAATGAACTAGATGATGCCTGCATCGCGTAAAAATGAAATTCGAGATTGTAATGTAATTAATCTAAAACAACTTGATTCATTGCTGGAAGAAGTTTCTGAAGTGGTAGAACATGATGACACCTCTCTTATATTTAATTTTGAATATTTCTAATTAATTTTGTATTGAATATTGGATGACTGGATGAGAGTCATGAGTCATCTAAATTAATTGACTTAATTATATTAGTCTAGTAAATGGATTAGTTATTGATGGTTTTGAGGTAATTTTTATTTTTTAGAATTTCAAAATTTCGAACATTTTAACTTATCCAATTTTTTTACTTTGATTTTTTAAACCTAGTCCAGTATATTGGTGATATCTTTACATGAAATATTTTTGTCGATCCGTATTTTTTATCCAATTTTTTCATCCAACTTTTTAAAATAAAAATGATTTTTTTTCTGATTTAAGATAAGCCGATTTATTGAAAGTCCCTGACTTGCTAACTTTAGTCCTGATACATCCGACGCACTAGAGGAGAAGGGCCTATTTAAGGTTGGGCCATAATGCTTTTTTGAAGGTTCAACTTTCGAGAAAGTGGATTACAAAAAAAAAACCGGGTCATGCATGGTCCCAAAGGACCGCCTAACCTAGGCAAAGAACAATTTGATTTTGAATTTGAATTCAAACCATGCAATAAATGCTCCACCTTGATGCCGCCAGCCATGGCAGGGGCATGGCCAACCTTCTTCAGCTCGCATTCCTGCTTAGAATATCGCTTTTGAGACAGAGTGTGCTTCGAGGAATGAGAGCCCTCCTCGTCCTAAAAACCACCTTCCATTAATCACTGTTTTCCGATGGACGGATAACGACCGAAATTAATCGAAGAATTAGAGGATTCCGACGAAATATGAGACTTGTAGGGAACATAGGGATTAAGGGATTCCATCGAGATAAACAAACCGAAATAATCATCAGCAATATTAAGTAAAAGTTCAGACGGCAGTGGTTGACCCGACAACGACTGAAATTTCATTCTCAAAGTGCCCAAAACAGGACCAGTCGTAATGAACCAATCGATGTCAAGTAGTTTGCCACATCTTCCTACAACTAGGTTGAATACATCCCTAGTCCAAGCCTGGATAGGAATACCCAACACCGTCACCCAAACAACAAGCAAACAAACCAAGGAAGATTTGGCTTCAGTCATCCAACACTCCACAATCATCAACACTTCTTTAGTCCTCTAGAAGTGTTGTTTCATAACTTTATTAGCCACCTTCAGTCTATTAAAAATGACCAATGTTCGATGGTTGCGAATGGATCGACATGTAAAAGGGTCACCCCAGGTCCCAATAGCCTAAGCTTGCAACATATTAAGATTATCCACTGGGGAGAAAAGGAACATTCTAGGGCCTTTGAAGCTGGCAAGCCTAGCTCTCGCTGGCTTTGGGGGGAGCTACAAGCACCAAGATATCAGTAGCACGATTTGAGTTCCACAAAACAGGAGCAACTTTAAGGGGAGGCAAAGCTTTAGGACCAAAACAGATTTCCCTCCGGTTGCTAGACGAGTTACAAGCCTTGGAATACTCACGAAATAGATTATTCTTGCCCTTAGAAGGCAAATCAAAACAGCCTCTAAACGCATGGGAAGAATTCCATGAGCCATTAAGGCCACCGACCATCCGGAGCCACCACGGTCTCCACAAGAATCCGGATAAGAAAGAGACCTATTAGGATTCATGCCCAACTTCCCCATAACAGCACAAAACATAGCACAAGAAGGATCAATGAAACAGAAAGGTCAAGGAAGCAAGAGAAGGGACATGAAAAGGAGAGGAAAGATAGGGAGAAGGAGAGGGAGAGCAGGGAAGTGCCATTTTTCCTTCTATTTCACCCTAAAAATATGACATGACATTGACTATTGTTACACTGCTCTTAATAATAATCTAGTATATAGAGACCTGAATTGTCCACTCTGCACTAAGCAATTTAACAACTTCAGACCATGCGTTAGAAAAAGAGAAAATTATACCCCCTACTTGAAAGATCCTATAAACCACCCACTTTTTTTTTGTGCATCTACCCCCCACTGACATCTACCACCCAAATGGAAGTTGGGAAAGCATAGAATGAAAGCATTTGCCTTTGGTAAAAGGTGGTTACATTAATCTTGACCATTGGATGTAAAATTGAAAGGCTGCAATTATTCCATTGATCAAGCTCGAATTTAAAGAAATTTTTCAAACTTTGTGACATCTAAGCTATCAAATTTTACATCGGATGGTTGTAAGTAATTGTGACTACCTCATATCAAAGGTAAATCGCCTCATGGTATATAGTCCCATGAAAGTTTTAGCTAACATTAGATAAAAATACCCTCAAGTCAGCTTGGTGCTTGGTGTGCCGAGCCAAACTCCTATAAAAAGAAAAAAATGATCCACAATCCATTTGACACTCAAGTGTTGAACTAAGGATGGCAATAGACCATGACCTGATAGTTATACCCAAATGAGGTTTGGGTATGGGTAAAAAATTTGATCGGGCAGGCCGAGCCTGGGTCCAAATCTTGGACCTGAACACTCTTTGGGTCCTGATCAGAGTCCCACATTATATTTTTAAGTCTAATTTATAAAATATATTTAAATATATAGAGAATTTACCTCAATTAATTGAAAAAAATATATGATAATGATGATTATAGAGATAATTTCATTTTTGGGTCGGGTTTGGTCAGTTTTGAGTTCAGGTCTAGGTTCTACAATATATTTTTAGGTCAGGGTCCGATAACTTCAGGTTCAAATCCAGCCAGACCCAAACCCAGACCGAACCTAACCTCTTGCCACCCCTATGTTGAACTAACCTAAAGTAAAAACTTCAGTTTGACAATTCAAGTACTGAACTAACTTGATGACATTTTTGTCCTAGATTGCCTAGAAACTTTATAGGAGGGGGGTTGGTTTAAATGCAAAGAACAATACCAACAGATTTTCGTATGAAAAAATTTAGCTCGGGGTCCTATGTGTAGAAACTTTTAAGAAGGGAAGCACATCAAATGCTCCTTTTAAATAACAAAATAAAATAAGAATATCATAAGAGGGCCTGGGCTTTCCAATTTTCGAATGTCTATGGTTCGAAAATTAGCTAAATGGCTTTAAATATAGGGAAATTATAGAATGAGACCATTTACCCTTTTGATAAATGGTGGGACATTAATCTTGACCATTGAATGTGAAATTGCGTGGCTGCAATTATTCCATTGACCGAGGTCAAACTTCAAAATTTTTTTTTTCGAGTTTTATGACACATTCAAACTTCCAAACTTCACATCGAATGGTTGTAAGTAATTGTGACCACCTTATATTAAAAAAAAATGATCTCATTAAATACCTTAAATATATGCCACTTGAGAGACCGAGACATTGATGGAAATAAAAAGTGAAGAGCATGTACACTATGCTCCTGACGGACCTGTGCATCTATCCCTCAATCAGAAGACATATTTACGACGATTTTTTTCAATAAGAAATTTTGGGAACCACATAGAGGTCCTAAACGATTTTAGAGAATTGTTTTTTCTTTTTTTATTCAAGTTAGTTTATGGGCAGAGGAGTTTACATCCGAAAAATTTAGGGTGCTAAAATTACTCGTAGTATCTACCCAAAGGAGAATGGACACTATACTCCTGCAGTAGTATAAAATCCTTTTGGACAAAAACATGGAATTAGAGGACATCAGCTTGCATTTTAAGGCAGAATTAATTGTAGTTCTCTTCTTCCCCATTGACGGAATGGGACCGTACTGTTAATTTCCACAGATATACATCAGTGGTGTATGATGTACCGTAAACCCATGGTGTATGATACTCCCGCCAAGGAAACACGGGCAGCATAAATATCTCAGAATTGAGAAAGAGAACAGAATCAGCAGACAGAGAGAGATTACAGAATCAGGAGGGAGAATTACAGAATCAAGAGAGAGAAACTACAGAATTAGGAGCGAGAAATTACAGAATCAGTCGAGAGATAAATTACAGAATCAGTACAGAGATAAATTACAGAATCGAGAGAGAGAGAGAGAGAGAGAGAGAGAGAGAGAGAGAGAGAGAGAGAGAGAGTACTACTAGAGAGTAAGAGGTAAGTAAGTTAAGTTAACGTTAAGTTAAACTAACTTCCGTACCTTCGTACGTACGACGGTACGGACGAAGTACGA